GTCTGCCGTTAAGCAAGTTCTATAGATTTTCACAGATAAATTATGCCCTTTCTAGCCGCATTTTGCTAACAAGAGTCATTTTTACTTGCATTTATACATAAATCGTTAGTATTCCACTAGTCAACTGTAAACATATGTATGTTACATGAATTTTTATATTCATACATACATACGTATGTGTGTAAGTGTGTACGTGACTGCAAGCGAATAAATATGTACATACATACATGTGTATGTAAACATCCCAGACTGTAAATAATTGGTTTGAAATTTCAAAATATAAGGGTGAAGCTCAGTAAAACTAAAAACATTTACTTTTGAAAACCCATTCTTTAACAAAAAACAGTGTAAAATGATAAGTTATGTGTGTATGTAGATGTTTTAGCCGCCGTGTTATATTGCATTTTTATGAAATTTGTTTATTGGGGCTGAATAGTATGATATGATATCTTGAAATATTTGAATTATATTTTATTTCAACTCCTTTCTTAATGAAATGTTTTTTTTATTATTTCCAGGGCCATTAAATCATTTCAGGAGCTTTTATACTTAAGTCCCAACTTTACATGTGCAAATGAAGTTCATTTGCGATTAGGTCTTATGCTTAAACATTGCGGGGAGTTTCACATTGCCCTGAAACATTTGCAATTGTCGCTGCTTTATACATATCCCTCTACCTTTTCTGAACTTCAAGGTAAGTACTTTCAAACGGAGCTTCATAATCTTATAACAATTAACTATTAAAGATAATTTATTTATTTGTTTTTTATTAATTAATTCTAACATTTATCCTGAACTAATTCCTTATTATTTCCTTAACAGTAAAATTTCAAATCGCGCATTTGTATGAAGTTCAAAACAAGCACAAGGCTGCAAAGGATGGATATGAATTTCTTCTAAATGAAAAAAATATTTCATTGGAACTAAAAGCAGATGTTTATAGACAATTAGGTAAGATGCCAAACTATTGTTTTCTTTTTTGTACTTTGTTTAATTAATAAGAATTTAATTTATTTAATAAATGCACTCATATTAATAACAACAATTGCAAATAAATTCTTATTTCTTTGCTTAGGATGGATGTACCACTGCGTAGAATGCCTAGGCGAAAAAAAGGAACGTGAAGCGAACGCATTAAATTATCTTCAAAAATCAATTGAAGCTGAACCCAAGAGTGGACAATCATTATACTTACTGGGTAGATGTTATGCTGGCATCAATAAGGTTCATGATGCTTTCCTAGCATACCGAAACTCGGTGGAGAAAAGTGAGGGGAATGCAGATACCTGGTGTTCGATCGGGTAAAAAACGCCATAACTATTTTGCCTTTTTAGTAATTTTTAATTCGAGTTATGCACTTAAAGCGTTTTATATCAGCAACAAAATCAGCCGACCGACGCACTTCAGGCTTACATATGTGCTGTGCAACTGGATAAAGACCATAAAGCCGCATGGACCAATCTGGGAATACTTTATGAAAGCTGTGGTCAATTACGTGATGCCTATGCGTGCTATTTAAATGCAACCAAACAAATTTCATTCCAGGTAAATGTTCAAATTGACGCTCATATTTGGCGTTATATTATTTATGTATTTTCTTTTAGAAGTCATCATTATTACGAAAAAAACAAGCAATTCGCATGAAAAGGGACACAATTGGGCTGTCGAAAGGACTGTCACAGAGAATAACCTTTTTAGAGGGCCAGCTCAGTCAAGCACCATTGCCAAGTATTACATCAAAGCGCCGCACATTGTGTTCAATTGAAGAAGCTTGGAATCTGCCAATATCATTAGAAATGAACTCTCGCCAACAACAAACAGCGCAGATGATTCCAAGACAAAACACTAAACAAAGTCCAATACAGGTAAATTGAAAACCAGACCGAAAAAAGTCACTTCGGGCTTTCTTTAAAAGTTCTAAGGTTAGCGTTTGTTGAAATAGTTTAACTACAGAGTGTTATGTTTACAGGGGCCACCACCACCTTATCCGCACAGCCAACTCAGCCAAAGCCCCATACCTGCGAAACGTATTAAGGAAGATGGCTCAGGCCAACAAGAATTAATTCAGAACAATGTTCAGACATCTTCTCAATTGCATCAAAATCTAAAGGGTACTTTGACCATCTTAAGTAACGTAATTAATGGTTATTGACATCTTATTTTTTCTCTCTTTTTTATAGATATTTCAGAGACTTTAAGCCAGCGCAATTTTAACACAATGCCGGAAAGTAACAAGGTTTCGGAACAAAGTGTTGTAGACACTTTTGATGACATCTCGAATGATATTTACAAACATAGTGAGACTATTAAGCTTGAGCGTTTAAGCCAAGATGCTTTGAGTAACAATTTAAATGAGGACTCCAGGCATCACGAATATAACGGAGGCTCTACCTCCGACTTATCGACCACGTTCAAAATACAAATGGACTCAAAACAGTTGATGGCAGCTGTTAAGCAGCTGCCGATCGACGAACCGCCCGTACACTGCACTATTTTGCAAGTGAATGCGCCCCCGCCATCTCCGCCCGATTGCCCACCGCAGAAACTCACAAGGGATCAGCTCCTGCCCCCCACTCCCTCGGTTCATTTAGAAAATAAGAAGAATGCGTTCAGTCCCCAGTTGCAGGAGTTTTGCCTAAAACATCCCATTGCCGTTGTACGCGGCTTGGCTGGGGCTCTGAAGTTAGATCTCGGTCTCTTTTCGACCAAAACGCTGGTGGAAGCCAATCCGGATCATAGTGTTGAGGTCCGGACACAAGTTCATCAGTCGCCCGACGAAAATTGGGACACATCGCAGGGCAAGCGGGTTTGGGCCTGCATTTCCCATCGGTCTCACACAACAATAGCCAAATATGCCCAGTATCAAGCATCCAGTTTTCAGGACAGCCTGAAGGTAACATTCGTTGTGTAGTCACTGATCAACATGAATACAGTTTACTTTATCGCATAGCTTATTTTACCGCAGGACGAAAGCGATAAGGGATTTCCGGGCTCCCAAGCGATGTCGGACTCAGACTCCAAGGACTCAGTATCCAACTCAAATATTGTTTTAAAGCGTAAAAAACACAAGATAAATAGCAAAATGTTAAGGTACTTGAAATTCCTACTTTATAATGTTTGTTTAACTCAACTTATGTGCATTGACTTCTTGTAGATTTGGCACCAACGTTGACCTCTCCGATGAGAAGAAATGGAAACCACAATTAACAGAGCTACAAAAACTGCCAGCTTTTGCAAGAGTTATATCCGCTGCCAATATGCTTTCTCACGTTGGCCACGTTATTTTGGGCATGAACACAGTTCAATTGTACATGAAAGTGCCCGGAAGTAGGACACCTGGCCATCAGGAAAACAATAACTTCTGCTCAATCAACATCAATATCGGTCCAGGGGACTGTGAATGGTTTGCCGTTCCAGATGCCTACTGGGGCGGCGTTCACAACTTGTGCGAGAAGAACAACATCAGCTATCTGCACGGCTCGTGGTGGCCCGTCTTGGAAGATTTATACAAGGAGAATATTCCAGTCTACAGATTTATACAAAAACCCGGAGACTTGGTTTGGGTGAACGCTGGGTAAGCAAAATATAAGTTAAACTATGTAATTAAAGTCATTAAAAAGGCAAAAATTGTAATAATTTACACTTTATTTAATTTGTGTGTTGTGTAGTGCAATTGAACAATTAATTAACTTTGTCAATCTGTCTTTTTTTAGATGCGTACATTGGGTTCAGTCGGTGGGATGGTGCAATAATATTGCGTGGAATGTTGGACCATTAACTGGGCGTCAGTATTCTCTTGCCATCGAACGATATGAATGGAATAAAGTGCAAGCATTCAAAAGTATTGTTCCGATGGTTCATTTAAGCTGGAACCTTGCAAGGAATATTAAAGTCTCCGATACCAAACTTTTCGAACTGATCAAGTGAGTACATGTCTGGAGAAACTATTAATATTGGAGTCTATGTATAACTATGCTAACCCATTTACAGAATGTGTTTGCTGCAAACGTTGAAAAATGTGTTGCACATACAAGAATACGTGAAATCGAAAGGTGTGGAAATACGATTTAATGGCCGCGGGAAAAACGAAGCCTCCCATTATTGCGGACAGTGTGAGGTACGTAATGTTGTGTAGCTTAGTAAAGTTCAATATATACCTATTCCTTCATATTTAAAAACTATATTTGTATCGATAATTGTTGTACTAATAATCCATTTGTGTTTTTCGTCAGGTTGAAGTTTTCAATGTACTGTTTATCAAGGAACAGGAAAAACGACACGTTGTTCACTGCCTATCCTGCGCCCTAAAACTGTCTCCATCGCTGCAGGGCATTGTTTGCCTGGAGGAGTATCGTTTGTCGGAGCTGCAGCGCGTTTACGATTCGTTCACTTTACACAGAACCCAAGGACTAGCATACACTCAGTAGTTGTAATACGAGGAACCATTTTTAATAATGCAGATTTAATATATATGTATATTTTACAAAGTACAACATACTTGCTAGTGTTTTGATAAAACAACGGATCGCTCATAGAGATGGGAATTCGTTCGGAGTTTAGTGATGATAAAGAAGGCCGTCAGAGGTGTCGATACGGCTAATATGATTGATTAAATAACTGTCCTACTTTATTAGGAAATCTGACCTGTTGATCTTGTAATTCGTAATTTAAAATCATTTGTCTTTAAAACATTTAGGTCCGTCTCGTGTTTACGTCCCATGTGGATAAGAAAACGGACCCTAGAATATATTTAGGTTAATATTAAACATAAAGGGACATATCTTAACTTCTTTTAAGTTATTGGTTCGACCGTTTCAAAATGTTTTAATGCACTTTACACTAAATAAATTAATAAACAAATTATAATTTATATTTAAAATCGTGTATTTGTTTTTTATGTTTTATTTTACACACATTTAAATCGAAGTTCCCTTTATATTTCCCAGTGCAGTGTAGAAAGTGACGATAACGATCGATTAATTAGTTGCATTTGGTGTAACCCTGTTTTTCAACCAGCCATGTTTTTGCAAATATTGTGTCCAAATATGAATTGGCAAAAGGAACTCATCTGGCTGGCCATTTGCCTCAGGCTGCTGGCAGTTTCTGGCTCAGTTCAAGATGAAGCCGACTATTGTGCAGAGCTTTCAATCCAGTCCTTGAGCAAAATACTGGGACAGGCATTCAATCCGCGCTACATGAGCATCGATCCGCCGGGGGAGCCCGAGGAGAAGAGCTACCAGTTGGGATACAAGCGATCGTCGTACGAATTGCCCTTCTATGCGGACAGTGATGTGATCTCGGTCAGCCACTTTGCCGCCTGGGAGACAAACCACTTTGCGATGGTGGAAAAGAAGGAGTCGTCGAGGAGCAAGAGCCTGCGAACGAGAAGCGCGTTCATGGATCGAGTGTCACATCCGCGAATTGATGGCTTTAAACAGCGGCCCTGGGAGTGCTCATCGAAGATCAACTGGATCGATTTAGGCTTAAATTACTTTCCACGCTATATCCGTTCCATCGAGTGTATTGCCAGAAAATGTTGGTATGATCACTTTAATTGCAAGCCAAAATCATTTACAATAAAAGTACTGCGCCGTAAAACTGGCTCATGCATTCGAATAAACGATAAATTGATTTTGATCACCGCTGAGAAATTTGAGAATGATTATACGCAGCTCTGGATTTGGGAAGAAATAGCGGTTAACTTTTGCTGTGAATGTGTTATGCTATACTAATAGCGCCATTTAATCAAGAATCAATCAATATACACATTGAAAATTTTAACAAAAAACTTTAATAGCATTGGGAACAACAGATACCTTAATGGGTCTTGCATCGTACTCCTCCCCGTCGATGGAGTAGAACTTGTCTGCCATTTCGCCGGCCGGATGCAATTGAATAGTTCGACTCTTGACCACCAAATTCGGTAAAATGTTGCTGCAGGTGACTTGTGGTATTTGCTTTATGAACTCCCAGCCCGGCTGCAATGAACTAATAAATTGGCTCTCCAGCTCCGCAAAGTTATCCTGATTCTGAACGCAACTGATGTTTATTTGACTGGCCTCAACGCTCCCTTTAATCTGATTGCTGCAGTTGTCGTTCTTAACCAGCGTCCTCTTGGGCTCGGCCGGGTTCTTCTGGTACTTGAAGAGGTTTCGCGTGAAGAGCCCCGACGGCAGAGCGGCCTCCTGGCGCTGGACAGAGGCGCAGTCCACGCAGCCCGGGCAGGGTGGAGTGTACACATAGTCAGTCTTCAGGCTCCAGTTGTCGGCAAACGATTTGGAGGCAGCGGAAGCATAGTGTCGGAGTGGGCCAAAGTACCAGTACTTATCCTTGGCCGAGTCAATGTTTTCCAACAGACCCCACGACAGTCCATTCAAGCCAAATATGGGTTTCAATTGGCCATCGCTGCCGTCGTCCTCGTTGATCACATCGAATCGGATAACGCTTTGGTAGTGGCTTTCACCTTTGAGCATGGGTTCCAAAGCCTGGCAGAGACTCTTGACATACGCCACATCCTTCACGCCAAAGATGTGGATGCGCTTGGATGCGGACTGAACCGAACGCCCCAGTGGGAGTATGGTTATTGGGCAGAGATTACCGCGTCGCCGCATCAGCCCGGTCACCACCTCCGATGAGGTTCCATCGCCACCGGCCACCACAATCGCGTCGGGAAGCGCCGACATCTCCTCCACGTAAGTCTTGGCATGTCCGATGTGGTTGGTGCGCAGGATCTCGACCGAATAGCCAGCTAAATGCAAAACCGGCTCACAGTAGTTCTTGAACTGCAAAACAAAGGCAAAAAGGTTGAGTTTTTAGACGGTCAAGTGTGCCGGCAATACTCACAAATTTCTCCGAACGCTTTTTATTGGCCACGGGATTCATAACCACAAGAACTTTTTTAGGCCGATCTGATACCCAATTAGACTGGACATTGGAGGCAAACTCTCTCATATGTTGTTCAATCCTGGAGGAAAATGGAGGTTAAAGATTTGTTGTATTTTCTAGTGTTTTCTGACTGCATACTCAATGTGCGTTTTCAGCGATTGAAGGGCGTAGACAGACACAGCCGCTCCGAATGTACATTTTTTCCAGTTATTCCGAATAACTCTTAAATAATTCATATTTATATGATTCTTTATTTTGAACACTGATTTCGATTCCACATGTATTGGTTTGGTTTCACAGCTGAAGTGTAATTTCATTAAGGGTATCCTTGTCTTTTTACATAAGCTCCTTGATAACAGTACAAAATTTGTTGATTCTGAAACATTGAGCGTGGAACATTATGTTAACATTATTTTTAGGATGGTGACGAATCGCGTTAAAATTGTACCGAACACTTATAATTATCTTTTTTTTTAAGCTTACAAAAATATTAATATTTAACAATATGATAAATTGGTAATTTTGTATTGGCCAGGACAATTTTTTTGCATTACAAATGTTAAGCAAACCTTTTTGAACAAAAGAAATCCGTTAATATAGCCCACGTATTGTATAGCTGTCATACAATCTGGCTTAGATCAGTAATACATTTTTCCGGCATGGGTATATTTTTTTGTTTAATACTGTACATAAAAATATATTTTAAATTATTGTATGTATAGTTTCCCCTTTGTAAAAATAAAAAGCTTCAAAGGGTAAAACGTTTCATTCAACAGGTCTGTTTTTATTCAACATTGTTATATATATCCTCTAAACCTGGGATGTTTCTCAGTTTTTCTATAAACACGTCGTACGCTTTTTGGTCTTCTACGGATAATTTCACAACATTCTATAAAAAACAATTTTTAAACTTTAATCAAGGAATTAACGTTAGAGGACAGGAGGCCTTACCATAGGAGAAAATATGTGTTCACTATTTTCTATATTGTATCCAGCCTTTTCCAAGTTTCTACTTAAGGCAGTTAAAACAACAGGACTACATCGGAACTGAAAATAAAATGGTGAAGTGTAAACATTGACGGAACTTTTTCGAAAAAAAAGTTTATAAACATTAAGTTTACATACATTAACCGAGCCTTCGGCATTGTCAACTATTTCGATCTCTTCCGCACCAAGTTCTATCGCATCATTAGTGGCTTTATCTTCCAAACTGGGCCCGTTAAGGAGCTTTGATGTATCAAACCGAGTTTCTATCAAGCCAAAGTCCTCAAACAGGTTTCCGACATCCATGAATTCGCCCCTAAAAAAATAACACAATTTTATCATATGACGAGAATAGAAAATAAGAATTATGGTATATTACCCGGCTTTCTTTATCATTGGTGTCGCGTCCATTTTTACTCCAGAAAAGTTGTCTGTGTAAAGCATGCATATCAAGTATACGTTCCTTTTATACCGGATGTCAAGGCGGTACTTCTTAAGTTGAATTTTATTAGATTTAAATTTGTTTAAAGTGTTTTGTATTGTACCGCTGGGCATGTTTTGCTTCAAGGCCCTTTCTATTTCCGTCCGCAGAAGAGAATTTATTGCGGGATCCGCAGAGTTTCCCTCCTGAATGGCCATCCGGATTTGCCGCGAAATCTTGGCAAACAGTGCCGCTCTGGCACCGTCTTTCAGGGCTTTAGTATGCTTAATATTCGCCCATTTTGAATGACCCGCCATGCCACGAAAAGTCTGGTTTGCTTGAAAAACGCATTTTCCGAAATGCGTGGAAAAAGTGCACACATTTCGTAACATCTTTGATTTAGTCCAATGTTGTGATCTAAACATTGAAAGTGTGACCGGGCTGAAAATGCCGAAGATTACCACTCATTTAAGAATTGATCTAAATATGAAGTATTGTTAGAAAATTTTTGACATATTTAGGGTATTCCGTGTACTTCAAAATTTTAAAAATCAGATTTTAAGTTTTATGGGTTTATTCTTAAAAACAACAAAAAAAACAAGAAATAATGTTAATTGTTAACAAACAGTCAAGCTTTTTTATAAGAAATTTAAGAATTCAGCAAACAAGATTTAAAGGTCATTCCGATTTAGATTAAAGAAAACGAATTTTTAATAACATACATATGTGTACATTTATTAACAGATAATTCTACACAACCTGCAATTGAACTTGCTTTTGAGTTAAGCAATTTGCAGCACTTTCGTAGCGAATCAACTTATTTTGGTGCGTTGTGGGGTCGTTGTTGTAGTCCGAATTAACAACAAAAACATCGACAACATTTTCTATGGTAAACTGTTCGTTTTGGAGTGTATTGGTCAATATCAGAGGTGATATCTTAACGAGTCCCAATTTCGATGGACAAACGGAGATGGGAAATTCAGCAGATTCTCCACTCTGAAGTAGACCAAGCATAAAATCGGCACAACCAGTGTATTGACTATCCGCTGAAAATGTTGCAGCCAGGCGCACATTCAATTTCATCGCTTGCTCAGATGTATTGGTTACTCGACAGTTGAACGTAAATACTGTCCCGATTTTAATGGTGTTCATGGCATCCAGTACTTCCAATCGAAGCGTTTTGCACTCAAATGGCTAAAATTGAGAAATTTACATAAATCTTTTAAATCGAAATCATTTGATTCCTTACCAGCCGCTGCAGTTGACTAGTTTGCAGCCTACCCTTTTCGCCAAGATTTGAACGCCAGACAATATCCAGTTTTCCCACATTGTTGAATTGCCGCAGAGTGTCTATATTCTTTGCAATGTCTCCTTTGGGCTGCTCATAATACAGGAAAATTGATTAAATCAAGTAAATATTATTTTTCCACAACTTATGTACCTTTATACAATAAAGAAATTGGCAGCTGTTATTTGGCTGCAGCATGTGTTTGACCGTGAAAACAGACTCCCCATTGGGCAACGTATTCAAGGGAGTTACGGAGTAGTCCTCCGAACCATCCAATTCAACTTTCTCCAGGCAAAATGGGCTGGTGGTAACGTTTTGTATCTGGGCCTCCAAGTATATTTCATCGATTTCCGCATTGTAAAACTTGGTCTTAACATCGAGTGGCTTTAGGACTTGAAATTTGAAAAACTTTCTCAGTGACTGCGCATAACCAGCTGGTGTGGAGTAATTTACTTCGCAGACAAGACTATAGAAATAAACCATAGATTGAATATACATACATACATACATATATGATTATTATGTTAAAGCAATTATAATATGTCGCCTTAATGGCAATTTAAATTTATTTTTAAGTTGCCATAATGTCGAAAAGAGTGGCCTTTATGATTAAAATGAACCTGTATTTCTAGTTCCAAAGAATTCGCGATTGTTTTGGTTGATGCAATAAACATAAGTAAATAAGTGCCAGTAGTACAGATGTATGTAACTTTCCTACTTAATAAGGTAGATCACAAAAATTTCCACTTACATATGAGTTCCGATTTCCTTAACCTCGTATCGGATAACATCATCGATGGTTCCACCGGGGGCCAATGTCACCGGCGATTTGGCGTGCTCGTGCATGGACAAGTTGATGCGCGTTGTGTTCGACTGCAGGTCGGCTTTAACCGTCACACATTCCACCGGATTGGCGGTGGTGTTGTGGACGCAGATGTAGCTGGCAAACGTTTCGCCCAAATAAATGCTCCCGAAAGATTGCGGAAGCAGCAGGACTTGTCCCGCCGCCAGGGTTTCACCAGCTACTCCGTCACTCTCCTGCACATTGTTAAATCGCTGAACCAAATCCGTGGACTCGCAAGTTACGACGGGTCCAAGTCCCACCAAAGTGGGCCGCATCAAACGCATCACTATGAATAACCAAAACAGAACTCATTAGGTTTAAAAAAAAAAACATGCTAATTTTCTGTACCTTTTAAGGCCACCAAATGTGCATCTGGGTCAACCATCTCCATTTTAAACAACACTTTAACTCTGGGTTACTGCAGTAAAATGTTTTAGCATATAATATATTTTGCGAAAAAAGATTCTGTTTACTTCAGTGTGACCAAATCTATTGGACTTAAGATTACACTTAACATGGCACACTAAATATACCAAAGGAATAGCCCATACAAAATAGACCGCTATGCATAAACAATTTCTAAAAAATGCAGTTTTCATTTCATAGACAGTAGCAAACAAAATATTGGTCCCAAAACAATAAAAAATACCAAAAAATTAATGCTTTTACTTAATCTTAACAAAATAAACAAAACTCCATGTAAGCTTATTTATTTTTTTATAAACAATAAAAATGTACATCACAATCTAGTACGTATTACAACTATTCCTTGTCTTTGCAAATTCTAGATGTCATTTCTTGTAAAGGCTCCAGCTCCTTGGCCGATATCATGTCAAATTCTTGCACAAAGTAGTAAAAATGTTTATAGCAGGCATTTACGTGAGCTTCCTAAAAATTAAATAATTTTGTTATGTTATATAATGGGTATATAAAGGGTATACGTTATGTTTTTACTCACAGCGCCAATGCTCACAATCCTGTCGAAGTGGTGTATATAGACGTGCACAAAAACACGAAAAAGTCGGGTTAAAATTTTACGACTTATAGCTGAGAAATTCTTTGGAAAGGGAACATCTGAAATAACGTATTTGTTTTTGTTAGTTTTATAATAGTAAAATTAATCTTAATCTTAAATTAATTGTTCTAAGCCGAACGGCAGTTTTGTATCCAAAATATTAAATATCTTCAAGATTAAAAATTGTTCAAAGTTATTTGGATTCAGGCTTCACCTTAATACAAACAATTAGATCAAACTTAAAACTTTACCAGTTGAAACAGGAAAAACAGATTCATTATTAATTTGTGTCTCAATCCAGTCCATTAAATGTTCAATATATTTCTGGGCTGAGAGGGCAGTTGGCTTTTTGTATCTGAAATTATATAAATTCATAATCGTTTTCAGCATGGCGAACTGTCCTTGTTCACTTACAAATCTCCATCAGCCCAAAGATACTCATACCGCGATCCCCCGGACATAGTTGGACAAGTTGTTTCGTTGCAAAACTCCGAAACAGTACCATAAATAAGGTTGATGCGATTGAAAAAGTCCACAACTAAAATAAGAAGATTTCTATAACAAAATGTATTATTTATGCAATATAATAGCTTTTACCATGCACAGCTAGCCAGTCGTTTAAATTCTCTCCTTGCGGCAGTCGGACTACTTGCCGAAGATTAATCCCAGATTGCAGACTGGCCTGAGCTTGTTTATGTAGAGAATATCTAATTGTTCCTGACGCAAAGGGCTTCTTTGGCTTAAATGTCTGAAATTTCGTTCGAAAATGGATCAGTTTTATATTTTTTTTTTATTCTACCAACCATACCTTGCCCTTTTGAAAGAACTCTAAGAATCCGTTAAACGCCATGTTATTTAATTTGAGATTTCGGTGATAAGGATTAACATTAGTTTTTAAGTAATTTAGTAATTATAATCTCTGCTTATAAATAATGTTTACATTTGTTCTGTATTCTTCTGTAGTTATAAGCCGTGCAAGAGATGTGATAAACCATCGATAGATTGGTTAACGAATAAGTTATCGAATAGTTAAAACTATTGTCTATTTACCACTGTTTCACTCTGCAATTTATTAACCGAAAAAATTAATTTTATCTACATTTTCTTAAAGATTTTGAAAATATGTAATAAATGTTTATTTTTGTTGTGCCAAGAATTTTCTCTTTAAACCCTATTAGATTTTGCCATGCCAAAAATTGTCAGTTTGTGCTAGATGCGATGATTCAACAAACAGCTGTTTTAGCTTCTGTTTGTAAATTGTCCTACAATAGAATTATTCATAGAAAAACAAACAAGCCAAAACAAAATAAAAAAAAAAGCTGTTTCTTAAAGCGAAACGTAAAGTCTCTACAGGACAAGTGAAAACAGTAAAAATTAGAAACTCGAATATTACAGATATTCAGTAGACTTTAAAATTAAAGCGGGAAAAAAGGTATCGGCAGTTTGAATAGAATTAAAATTCTTTTTTTAAAAACTGTGGTTACGGAGCGCTTGATTATCCTCTTCTTTGGTAATCAAGATTTCAATTCTGTCAACAATCCCAATTGCTCTGCTAGTAGTGATCTATTGGATTTGGACAGGGACAATGGCAAATTTATTAGATTTTTTTTAATTTTCATTTGAAATCATTATGAATATAATAAAAAATTAAATCGTGGCCCACTTAAAATGTTCTAACTCTTCAGATCATGCTTTGGAAGTACACATTGCGTATTGAATACTTTTCGGCCAAATAAAAGTTTTATACTAAATAATTTATTATTACAACTGTTGTTTTTGCAATTATGATACTAGGACAATTTTATAAGCTTTATATTTAAAAAACAAGCATCATTTTCATTGTTAAAGTAATAACATAAATGGCAAATGTCTTATATTTATTATAAGAGTTAAGAAATAAAAAATATTATTCTTGTTTGAGGATTCCGATTTCCTGAAGCAACTGATCATTGTTGATGGGGGTGTTGTTTTCGCTTAACTGTCTATTCCATTGTATTAACTGTAATAGGGATAAGAATAAATAAATTGGTTGAACTTGGCATGAAAATGTATATACCGACGCGCTCCAGTTCGGCACGTAACGCAACTACTGCCTTCTCCCGATCCGCAACCAGCTCCTCAAGGTACTGGTACCGCAGTTTCTTACGTGCCCTACACTCTCTAGCACTTTGCCTGCTACGTTCTGTAAGGGGAAAAAAGGGGAAACAATATTGTATGAATGAGTTTAGTTTTAAATTAGGTAACAAAAGAAGTAAGTTAATTTGTGTGAAAATTCGGTTAAACATTTTAAATACATATATAATGTGTGTACATACATTCCCAGTGAAGATATTTATTTTTTAGTGTTAGGGAAAATAACAAAATTGTTTTTATATTGTAGTTACAACAAATTTAAATAGGCAAAAGTTTTTGGTTTAAGAAACCTGGATATGTATGGGGACAACATTTAATGATAGTTCAACCTTTAAGTAAATCGGTTGCAGTTGCATGCCAGTTTTTCATTGTGCCTTACCAAGCTTTGCCTTGATATCCAATTTTTCTGTCGACGTCTTTCTTCCTGGTTTACGTCCCCTTTTTCCGCATTCTTTGCGGGTCTGCTAAAAAATATAGGTAATTTTATTAAACAATATACATATATATTGTAAAATATATAATATTTTGAAAAAATTACGTAGGCATAACCAATTAGTATGTACTATAAGGACATATAAAATTGAAAATTTGTTGTCTGTATCTAAAATTATAGCGCAACTAAAAATTTTACGTTAATAAGCCGAAAAACTGTTAAAATTTCAACCTATTTTCAACGTACTTTGTAAAATGTAAAATAAATAAGTTTGTTCTAAGCACAACTTGGTTGAATATCAAAAAATGATTTAAATAAATCAATTCACTAATTAAGTTAAATTAAAGTGTTTAAATAAATTGAGATTTCGTTTGTCAATTTAATTATTATTTTGAAAAAAAGCGCTCTTTTTATGCGTACAATCACCCTTACATATTTGTATGTATGCGTGCAAATAATGTGTGTGTATTTCCACAACCTAACTGCGCATTAGAAAAAAGGTAAATAAATTCACTTTCAACACAATATAAATATAGCCATTAATTATTTGATTACCGTTATTGCTTCCTCTGTGATCGTCATTTTATTACTTTGGATTTCCATTTCTGCCATTATAAATTTAAAAAATGTATAAACTTTGTAGTTCTTTGTTATTATGCTTCCTTTCGTAAATACTTAAGAAAACAATAAACAAACGCGACCAAACACACACATATAAGACATGTCGAATTATATCTTAATAAGAACAATGGAATCGAACATAGAATTCCAAATCTGTTTCGAAATTGGGAATGATACACGCCAGACATACATTTTGAGAAACCACTGACTGCATGTTTCTTTTAAATTATACAATTTATAACTGGCAGATAAAATAAACGTTCGGAAACATATTTTGCGAACTATAACTAACAGAATCCTTTTTGGCATAAACTTCCGAAAGGTCCAGAAACGTCCTCATTACGAATATATAGGCCAAAGTTGGCGACAAACCAGATATCTTGAAAAATAACGGTAAGAACCGATTGTATATTGTTCTTTTTTTTGTCAAAGTCTATATTAATAACAAGAATTAAAAAAATTGACGGAAACGATAACAAAAATACCTGCTAGGTTTCGGTAAAAAAAATACAGCTGAGATTAAATCCGGAAAATTTAATAAGTTATAATAAAAAAATGTAGCTTCATATGTAAAAATTGCAAGCTTAACGTTTAAAAACAATTGTGGCTGTGGACTTCTTACCAAAAATCTTCAAGCAATCTTTATACAGTTCTCTCTTTCTGCGCTTCAATAAATCCGTCAATCCGTTCAATAAATGGGTCATAAACCCATTTAGTTTTTATGTTGATTAATTTTAATAATGGTTCTGAAAGATAAATTTGCGTTAGAACGAGTGGCAAATATACCTTATTCCTTAAAACGGAGAGTAAAATAATAAATAATAAATTTATACTTATTTATAATTTGTAGATATCAAAGTCCCTAGTGTGATGGGAAGTCCCTTTTTTTAAGGGCCTGGAGTACTATAAATAAACACAGTTTTCGCCCGATTTCAATGTTCCAAATTCGAGGCTATTTTTAAAAATTTGCATTTTTGCAACGAGTTTAACCACCCTGGTTGAAAACTTGATATAGATACAAACGCTAAACTATCCGGTGGTGATAACTTATTGATTATTTATTTTTCCAAGGCAGGTATCTGAAAGGATATCGCACTAACTACAGATGTCTAGCATGGGCGATCAGCGTGGCACCAGAGTCTATGTCGGCAATTTGACAGATAAGGTGAAAAAGGACGATCTGGAGGGGGAGTTCACAAAGTACGGCAAGCTGAATTCGGTTTGGATAGCGTTCAACCCCCCGGGCTTCGCATTTGTGGAGTTCGAGCATCGCGACGACGCCGAGAAGGCGTGCGACATACTGAACGGCTCGGAGCTACTGGGCTCCCAGCTGCGTGTCGAGATCTCAAAGGGGCGGCCGCGTCAGGGTAGGCGTGGCGGCGGACCGGTGGAAAGGGGCCGGCGCGGCGGCTTCGGCCGGCACAGCATCACGAACAGCGGCAGCGGAGGCGGTGGCGGATTCCGGCAGCGCGGATCCAGCGGCTCATCGAGTCGCCACACGGAGCGGGGCTATAGTTCCGGCCGATCCGGTGCCAGCAGCTATAATGGACGGGATGCCGGCGGGAGCGGCTTTAACCGTCGTGAGGTCTATGGCGGCGGACGCGAGAGCAGCCGCTACAGCAGCGGAAGCAGCGCCAGCTACGGTCGCACTGGCGGACAATCAGCTGGACGATTCCGGTCCCGTTCGCCGGTTGGAAACCATCGATTCTAATGACAACACCACTCATAGTTGCTTAAGGGTTGCCTATGAGTAAAGATTAATAAACAATAACTTAAGTGCGACCGCAGAGCGCAGACTCGAAACGTTTAAAATCGTAGCATTCGATCGTTTTCGATCGTCCATCCCCACAAACCCACATCAAATCAACAAAACTGATAGTCGTCGTATCTTCATTATTTATTTTACGAATACCCATTAACATGACAATTGCAAGCACTTAAAATTTAAGTTATAACGTAGAAAACTAGTAAGAACAAATACGCTAAGACTCGAACAACGTCAAACCAAATTCTAGAAGTACGCAATTTTAATAAAGGAAATGCGTAAAGTTTTTCGTATACGTACAAGCTTTCGCAAAATAATTGGTCTATGCATTAAAGATCTTTAAGTATTCGGAACAATGTAGGTCTTCGCTTTTACAGAATTTTCAAAAATCCCCTGATATACGCTTTAAATTAAAGCTGTATGGTAGCCCGGTTCCGAGGAAAAGTGTGTTTCAGATCCATAAACGATCCGATCTGAAAATAACCTGTCCGTTTTTCAGCATATTTAGCTGGATCTTGACGACTATAAAAGCGTTTGCAAGCAGACCACCAACAATAATTAAGATATTAACTTTAAATTTGGTAAGAAATATATATAATAACATGACTACTATTTATCGATCTACCTAATTTTTTAATTTATCAAAAAAAACTCAAGTTTTGCAGCCTTCTGCAGTTTTGCTTAAAAACTCAAGCTTTAGACAATGCTTAAAGCGCCTATTTTAAGTTAAGTGTGACTTACTGGGCTATGACATACCGGCTCTTCGGTTTTAGCAATTATGTTTGTTTTTATTTAACAATTTGACAAGTCATTAGTTAGTGTATTTCCTAAAGACTACCTTGAGATTTATTAGAATGCAGTAAGTTCTAAAAGCAATAATTGTTTGATGAAAATGTCGGTTAGTTAGTTAGCCTAAGGGGTTAGAATTCATTTGGTGTAAGTGACTGCAGATACTTTTTAAAGAATAATAAAAAAAAGAAAAATAAATTGAATAATACGGCAAATTGTTTGTTTTTATTTGTGTAACGCAGATACCAACATAATTTATAGAAAATATGGGTTCTTATAATATCCCAACACGAATTTAAATTTGTTATATTGTTATTCGAAGATCAGTTTGCGTTTCGATTTATTTATTCTTATAGAAAAGTATGCCAGAATAAATTAGGCGTAACTTTTTAGGACAACCTAATTATTTTAATATTACTTCTTCACATAAATCAGCAGGTAATCAGGATATTTTATAATTTTTTAATAACAAATTTTATTACATATTTTTTTTTAGCTTAAATTGCGTTGTTTGCTTCAAAATGCTCGAAAAATAGAAAAAAAAAACTTCGTGATTACCTCGAAAAATGTATCATAAGTATTTTTTCCAATTTCTCGACCATAATACCCATTAATTTGACATTTTTCAAGCATATTCATCTAATTACTCCAGAACTTATACATAATTTTAAAATCTTAGAACATAAATATCTGCGTGCTTAAGGTTTTTTCTGCCCACGCAATATTAAATCCGATAAGTCCGGTTAGGACTTAAGACCTTGGACTCTTGGAGATTCACGACTACGATACCAAGAAGCTGCTTAAACCCGTAGAAACTTTTTTAGTGCGCCGACAAGGACTATGTTGAATTGAATTTGTAATGCAAAACAAGGCAAACACAATTAAAATACCTGAATAAACCAAACAAAACAATTCCTAAACCTATCCTAATTTTACATATGTAACCTTGTTCTTAACTCAAATACTAGCTAAGTAAATTTTTTGAGATGGAAAGTTTAGGTTTTTTTATTTAAAATGCAAGCCATAAAAAAGCTGTTTTCCTCTTATACAACTCTTAATAGGGTAAATCAAAGTCGATCAATAGTGAATAATCATCCCTAGCCATTTTCCCGTTATTCCAGCAAGAGCTGAGAGAAAAAAAGCTAGAGCAACTTACAAATAGTGTATGTAACGGCTGTTTGATAACAGCTGTTTAACAAATTCAGGAAACATTTTCGGACGTTCCCTTAATTGCTGAATTAATTCTTCTGAATTTTAATCAATTTAGTCGTTTAGTGAATAACCATTTATGTATGTTTAAAGAAATCGTTCCCTTGTTGTTAGTTAATGTTAGAAATGTTTTAAGGTTGGTATGTTCCTTAAGAAGTTAAATAAAATGTATTTTTTAAATAAGCAGTAGTTAGTGTGCCAACACAATAAGAAAACCATAACAAAAATGGTTCTAAGTAATTTACAGTCCATTTTGTTTGGTTTTAATTTTTCATGTACTTGATAAAAAAAAACACGGGTTTTCTCCGAAAGAAAATATATACAAAAAATATTAAATATAAATAAATGAATGTATCGATTGTGAATCGATAGTTTTTGCATACACAATTTAATCGAAAGGGCTCCCTGCACGTCGATTGCGCTACATGTATTTTTTCTCACAACTTCTAGTGGTATCGCTCACCATAAACACCCTGTGGATCTCACGCTTGATAAATTAATAATACACTTAATAGAGCATGAGCTATTGTTTAAGTTTTACACATAATTTAAAAGTTTTATTTGGAATTTCGTGGCTTAATGTATAACATGTGATAACTTTTTGAAAAGCAGTAACAAAAACCTGCTCGGTTGGAACCCAAATACATTTAGCCTTATTGACTTAAACATACCCATATGAACATACATATGTATTAAACAGTAGGCCCATATATTCGTGTGGTGCTGATAGTGTAAATGTGTAAAATGTCTGTGGAATTGTAAATATGTTTTTGTTTAAACAAATATGTACATAAATGCACCAAAATCGGTGCATATATGTGCACATGCCCATCCATATCTGCATATTTCTGTACATGCATATGTGCGCTAACTACAATACATACCACCATTCGCAAACAGTTTGTCAAAAAAGTGTGTCTACAAGATAAAACAAAAAACAGTTGCCAAATCAGTCGCTATGTTAAGTAATTCGAAATTACTGTTCGGTGTTTCTAATAAGGATTTTGATGGTTTAAAAATCGCCAGTTTATGCAGTGAAGCAATTTAATTGCTCGAATTCCGTGCACTGACTTCAATAAGAAAACTTTATTGGCAAGTTGAACAATTCGGCAGTCGAACTAAATGTATTATGCCAAGCGGAAAATTGTTATATTGTTTATCTTTGATAATATGTCGATACATATACATGTAAGTATGTTTCACGTGTGTGCCGTATATGTGTGTCTGCGTGTGTGAATGGCAATTTTAAGGACATACATACACCGAAGTTGGGCAAAATGCTAAATGAAAAGGGTTTAGGCTAACACTTTACCCGTTCCTGAATGTGTTCAAAACTATTCCTGTGAAAGAATTGCATATCTGTATGTGTACTTGCCTAGAAATGTATCTAAGAAAGGTTTGCGATTTTCAGAACTATATGCAGAAATATGTCGACCCAAAGCTATAAAATATGAAAAAAACATCTTACGTTTGATTAAATATATAATCGTACGAGGGATAACAGTTAAGTTGTACTCTTGGTAAGGTAAAAGTATTTTTTTGACGGCTTAACTCTCTCATTTGCATCGCAACGCAAAATATTTAATTCTAAATTTATGAGGCAGTTACAAAGACAATCTTCTTAAGAGTTGAACACTATATCTTCCATATTTACACCCATTTGTTCCTATTGCAATAGTAAATAACCTGTTTACAGATATGGGACAACGATGTGACTGACATTTCATCTTTTTAAAAAATGTAATAAATTGTTGAACTAGTTAGACCAAAAATCATTACAAATAGTTTTGAGAGTATCAAATTTATTGAATCCTTTAATTTTTTAACAAATGGCTGTCAAGTCGGGTTTAAAGGCCTTTTCGGAACGCAACAGACTTAAGGAACAGAGCAGCTCTATGTACGTCTTAACCAGTTGGCTAATGAACCATGCACTTAGTAAAGGGGTATCAAAGCATTGCATTAGTGCTGTTTAGGCCTCTTAAATTTATATTGGATTGCCTTTCTTCTCTTTTCAGAACCTAAGCATTGAAATGGAGTAAACATAAGTCAAAAACTGGTTTCCAAATAGATTTGAATGGATGCAGCTTACCTAATTTAAAAAAAGACAAGTCTTTTAACTTTAAAAATATGGCCAACACCATTTCGTTAATGTCTAACGTGATACGCACAGTAGTGAGCAAAAAACGTATACGATACATAGAAAAAGGATACAATTTGGATTTAACATGTAAGCCACTTAACTTATCAAGTTTGTAATTGAGAAACAAATATTTCAAATAACGCCTAATTTTTTACAGACATTAATGATAACATAATTGCCATGGGGTATCCGGCACCGGATATAATAGAGGGTCTATACAGAAACCGTCTGGAGGATGTCTATAAATTTTTGGAAGAAAATCATTGCCAACATTACAAAATATATAACCTATGCTTAGAGCGGAATTATGACATCGGAAAGTTTCACGGGGTAAGGTATAACTTGTCCCGATCATTGGCATTGTAAAATATCAATTTTTAATATACAGAGAGTAGCAGTTTTTCCGTTTGAAGACCATAACCCTCCAACGATTGAGTTAATACAACGTTTTTGTAAGGATGTTGATTTATGGCTTAAGGAAGATGCGTCCAATGTCGTTGCAGTGCACTGTAAAGCTGGAAAGGGAAGAACTGGTAAGAAAATTGTCGTGATAGCTTAAATAATCCATCATCACATATAATTTAAGAGCATGCATTATTGATTATCACAGCTCAAGTATTATATTTGTTTGTCAACAAGAACTCAACATTTTTAAAAAGTGCTCTGTTTGATGCTGAATTTTAGATATTTTTACAGACCCATCTAATCAATTCATTCTTATTTTTTCAGGTACCATGATTTGTGCATATTTACTGTTCAGTGGACTACAAAAATCTGCTGATGAGGCATTGGCGTGGTATGATGAGAAGCGTACAAAGGACCATAAAGGTGTGACAATCCCATCTCAGCGACGATATGTTCAGTATTTTTCCAAACTAGTTTGTTCAAGTGTTCCATATACAAAAATAAGCCTTAACGTAAGTATTATGGAGACTTATGTACTGATCAAGCTAAAACAAAAAATATTATTCTAGGTATGCGAAATTCGATTCTCGGAGTCCAGTTTTCTTCAAAATTTAGGCACGGTACAATGTTCAGTATCTGTATTACACGACTCAACCACAGAAAATTTAAAGCCAGATGTAAGTATTTTCGACACAATTTCTGGTTTATTAACTGTCGGTTACTTTAGACCCGTTTTCTCGTCCTCACGGTAAGACGAGAAAACAGGCTTTAGATTTAAAGTGCTTT